ATTGTTCTGCCTGATACTGAGTCTGAGAATCCTATTATCCATTATTCTTCTCTACCTTATTTTCCTCAAGTTACTGAGAAACTTATTAAACTGTATAAACAAAATAACATTCCTGTTAAAATTGCTGTCAAGAACGCAAAAACTGTTAGAAATCTATTTTCAAAAACTAAAACACCATTGTCTACTTTAGAACAAGTCAATACAATTTACCACCTTCCATGCTCTGACTGTGAATTGTGCTACATTGGCCAGACCGGTAGATCTTTAAAAGGTCGTCTTACTTCCCATCGTAGTGATATTAATTTATCAAAAAATACGTGTGCTCTCGCACATCATGCTATTAGCACCAAACATAAAGTGGATTTTAATGAAGTTAAGATTCTTGGCACTGAACGTAATCTATTTAAAAGACAGTTTTTAGAAATGTGTTCAATTCTTAAACATCCTAATTCTCTAAATAAGAGAACTGACATAAGTAACTTGAGCCAAATTTATCATGCTCTAATATTGCAGAACTAGGCTTTACTTTCATTTTCAATATAATTATCATGTAATATACATATTTGAACACAAAATTTTTCATTGAATAATATAACATAATAAATAAATAACTAATATAAAATAAACTATAACACTCAATTCTTTATAGCAATTACTTAAATATAGGCAACTTTCATTACAAGGTTACCTCTACATTATAATTTGTCCATATGAGTGTGAACCAGTCACTATTTAATAGTATAGTAATAATATTAACATTGTAATTGATTCATAGAATCCTTTACAAATTACAGATCTAAGTGTATGAAGCTTAGACTGTTGGAAATTATCTAATTGTTATTCACCTGTTGGCAAAAATTTCTTCAGCCACAATGTTTAACATAAATTTAAATATAAGAGTTTGGATGAAATTCTCCTGTTTGTTTGTTTTTAGACGGGCTAATGCGAGTGATTGTTATTACTATATCAGTCTCTTTCATTGGATTGTCTCTTACAAGCGGGCTGTCATCCAAAGCTCATTAACTTTTAAATAAACCGCTCAATTATTTGAGGTGGTACCTCTGACCTTGCTGTTCTGTTGAAATAATTTCAACCTCAAGGTTGGCTGTCTTTTCGTAGATCTGTGTCAGTCTGTTCAATCTAACGCCATTTTCCTGGTAGCAGGTGTAAGGCTTAGACCGGTAACTTCATTCTTTTACACTTATTTTATTTTTAAATTATATTAACATCTTTTAATAATGCTACCAAAAGTTAAAATTAAAATTTAATAATTATCTATTGTTGGAAGTTAATCGTTGATTTTCTTAGTTCTTTGCATCAACTACGTTATAATTTAATATATATTTTTTATACTTCTGACCACATGGTCACTCATTGTGCTAATTTTTTAATAAGTCACTAAATGTTGTTAGTAAATTAAATGTTTATACATTTCTACTTTATATTGTCCATTTATTCAAGTTTAATTCATAAGCTTGTTAACATCTTTGACTGCTACATGTCTTTTTAAGGTAACACCTGTAACATCTTTTCCATGATTGTGTGGTTCTTATATTATACTTTTTAGAATGAACTGATGATGCTTTCAGAATACGAAAGCGAAACGTTTTCAAAATAGATAGAGTGGCACATCAACTTTGTCTTTCATTTCTCCACCTACAAATTGACCGATATAAGAGCCCACCACTCTGTTGAGTGATCCTTTTATATATTGGAATTTGACGGTCGTACTCCTTTTTCCGATGCTATATATATATACATATACAGGGTGTCCAAAAACTCTCCCGACAAACGAAAACCGGAGATTTCTCAGTTATTCCTCAGATTTCCACAATTCAACCCAATTCATCTAGTCCAAAAATGCTTCCTAAGAGAGCTAGAGCTTTTTGAAGATTAAGGACCCTTAAGCTAGCGGGCACAAATGAGCGGAATCTAATTTAACCTACGTAATATTTTTTTGCAGTCTTTCGCAATCGAAGGACGCAGAGGAATTGGTAGAAAGCAGGCCTCTTGGTTGAAGAATATTAGAGAGTGGACGGGAATAAAGAAAGCTGAGCAACTCTTTAGAATTCATAATAATTTTTCACCACCAAATCAACCTTAAGGGGAGCGATTCTGCTGGCTTAAGGTTTACGCTAACAGAATGCGAAACAAAAAAAATTTTTTCCTATGGCATATTTTTCACCCATTTTTCACCTATTTATTACCACATTAATAATTTTTCATCACCAAACCACCCTTAATGGGAGCGATTTTGCTGGCTTACGGTCAAAACTAGTAGAATTCCAAAAAAACATTTATGATGTACCACAGTGTTCTGCTAGGTTTTTATGAATTTATTTCCACCTTAGTAATTTTTTACCCGCTAACTACCCCTTATCTAAAGTTAATAATTCTGTTAGATTAAAATTTAAGGTGAATTTTTTTTTCAATTTCACAATTCTTTTCTTATAACTAAAATAAAAACTGTTTTTTTATATATACTAAACTTTAACCACCCTGGTAATCTTGCACCCCTAAACCAATCTTATTTGGAAACGTTCCTGCTAGCTTAATATTTGAGCTAGCGAAATTAAAAAAAAATATATATTTTTGAAATACCACAGTATTTTGGTAGGTTTTAAAGAATTTATTACTACCCCAGTAATTATTCAACCCTAGTTAAGGAAGTAAAGAAAAACATGGCAGCAATACAGAGCTCCACGAGACAAAATTAGTCTAAATATTGCTACACAAAAACTAAAAAGGGAGGTACATAATATAAAAAATTCAACAATTAATTCTTTTTTAAAATAATTTAACAGCTGACCAGAACACAGATTATTCTCCAGGATATGATCTCATAACAGGAGAATTATTAAAAAATCAACCAAGAAAAGCCACAGTTAAGCTGACACACCTAATAAATACTGCTTTTAGATTGAGATATGTTCTCAGACTCTGGAAAGTAGACGAAGTAATTATGATAACCAAACCAGGTAAATCTCCTAATGGAGTGACATCTTATCGACCAATATCACTCCTTCCGGTGATGTCAAAACTATTTGAAAAACTTCTATTAAAAATATTAAAACTAATAATAGAAAGAAGAAAGCTTATACCAAATCATCAATTTGGTTTCAGAAATCAACATTCCACTATAGATCAAGTTCACAGAATAACGAATATAATAGAAAAACCGTAAAATAGTTTCGAAACACAATTCAGATTTCCTCTTTAATCTGTGCTTTCAAAAATTTGCAATGCAAAACAGACGTTAATAAAGGTGTTAAAAAAGACATGAGGAATCTAAAATTTGCATTCCACGACACGTCTTTTCAACTAAGCAGAAATCCTGAGCGAATTGGTTTTTAGTACTCGTACAGAGTAAATCTGAATAAGTGAAAAGACAGAAAATATTTGATTTCACGCAAACAGCGCCGTTGTATCTGTTGATACGTATTTCGACCTAATAGGTCTCATCAGAACAGTTATTCAAAGGTGTTCTCAACGTGAAAGATCAATATTTTCTGTCTTTTAAGAAGCAACACTAAAATGGCTTCAATACGGACGCAATAGCGACATCTGACAATAAAACCGTAAAATAGTTTCGAAACACAATTCAGATTTCCGATTTAATCTTTTTCCGCTTTTCACCAATTGAAAAAGACAGTCTTTTCACTTTATTCGGATTTACTCTGTACGAGTACTAGAAACCAATTCGCTAAGGATTTCTGCTTAGTTGAAAAGACGTGTCGTGGAATGCAAATTTTAGATTCCCCACGTCTCTTTTAACCCCTTTATCAACGTCTGTTTTGCTTTGTAATTTTTAGAAAGCACGGATTAAAGCGGAAATCTGAATTGTGTTTCGAAACTATTTTACGGTTTTATTGTCAGATGTCGCTATTGCGTCCGTATTGAAGCCATTTTGGTGTTGCTTCTTAAAAGACAGAAAATATTGATCTTTCACGTTGAGAACACCTTTGAATAACTGTTATGATGAGACCTATTAGGTCGAAATACGTATCAACAGATACAAAGGCGCTGTTTGCGTGAAATCAAATATTTTCTGTCTTTTCACTTTATAATAGAAAAACATTAGAAGAAAATAAAGTCTGCTCTACAATCTTCTTGGATACAATCTTGCAATTCTCAAGTTCTTACGGAGATCTTAAACATATCTTCTGCAACAAATATTTAGAAAAATCTAATAAATTAATTCAAACTCTTATTGAAATGAAATATTTGCTTCCGTTAAGTCATCACGCATTTTGTCAACTGCTAATAGAGAAACCTTCAAATTGCTAATAAATTTTATTGAAGATGTAAAAGTAGAGATATAAATTAGTATAACTTCAGTGAGTTATACATACATCTAAAAAGTAAAAACAATCAAGAACAAAAAAAAATATCTTTAAACATAAATAAAACATTCGGTGGCTGATGGACTTGTTTCCATGCCATATATTTCACACACATATAGTAGAAAATAAGAGTAGAGGTAAACCAAGACTGAGACGGAGGGACGTTGTGGACGAGCACGCAAGATCGGCGCAGCAACTGGCAATGGTTGGTAATGAAGATGAACGACTGGGGAGGGTCGAGACTCACCCAGAGCTAGCACTACTGATGATGATAATGATAGTTTGATGTTAAATGTGAATTTTATTCTTGATACTGTCTTCGAAGCATTATTTTTCAAGGCCTTATGCACATCGACGCAACAATTTTTAACAAATAAATGTATTGGAAATGGGACTACTACTTACTAAATAAATAGCACTTTTTAATATAAAAATTAGCTTTTATCTTAAAATGAAGAATATTATATTTAACATAATTTATAATATAAAGAATAAAATCAACTTAATTTTAATGCATTTTAGTTTAATATAAAGATGATCACCCCGACGTAACGACGTTTTATCTTTGCATTGGTACGTATCATTATATATACGGAAAATCTCACAAAGGACGAATACAATAGGTCATGAAAACGATTTATCAAAATTAGGACTTACTTAGCATTGTTCTTCCACATGCTACCACATCCCCAATCAGTGTCAAAGCTATAATAGCTATTAATGGTTGGGCAGCCTTCCTAACTGTTGTTTTCGCTGCTATGTGCCGACACCACATATTGTTATTGTTCCTGCAAAACAAAAAGGGACAGCGATTATTTTTCGGATGAAATACCAACTGAGTAAATTTTACGTTTTATATCTTAATTATTATCTGTTTTATAGTAGGCGACCGAAATTTATTTTAATTTATAGGGTATTGTTGGGACAAATTTGCAGAGAATAAAAAATTTTTTTCCCATAAACAATATTAAAATTGAATAATCCTTATCGTTGTTAGAGATCTTCGTTTTGTCAGTATTATGTTTGTATATTTATTTATTTTGGAATTTATAGAAAATAACTACAAATCAAATATTACAACCAAAGAATTTTCTGATTCTTTTTCGAACATATCAAGTTATTAATAAAAATATCAATGAAATTTTTATCCTAGTTGTCTAAAAGAAATCATTATTATTTTATAGCTACAAATTCGAAAATTACAATATTTCGGTCATGTAATAAGACATCCATGGACAGAATTGAAAACATGGTAACCAAATTCCAAGCAATTTCTAATAGAGTTATCTATATGGTAATAAAACTAAATCGTAGATACAGCATTCAAATAATCCACTGTTATGCACCAACTTCTTCTGCAGATGATGAAGAGGTAGAACAACTTTATGAAGACATCACAAGAGCCAGAAACCTAGAGAAAACATATTACGTAATAATTACGGGAGATTTCAACGCCAAAATAGGAAAGAACGAAAATAACAACGACAACGAATATATTGGAAATTTTGGACTGGGAAGTAGAAATCACAGGGAGATATGCTCGTAAATTTCCTCAGCAAAGAAAAACTATTCTGCTTAAATACCTTCTACAAGAAAAAGATGCAGAAAAAATGGACGTGGTTAAGCCCAGATGGCAAAGTAAAAAATGAAATTGACTTTATACTATCTAACTTCAAAAACATTGCTAAAGATCTTACTGTACTAAATTCTTTCAACACTGGTAGTGATCATCGATTAGTTAGAACGCGAATAGAAATAAATACGAAATTAGATAGAAGAAAATTATTAACACAGGATAAATTGCCAAACATAGAAGCACTCGAAATGAATCAAGAGGAATATCAAAGTGAACTAAAAAAGAAACTAGGACCTCTACCAGTATTCAACACGAAAGATATAAATGAAATAACACAAAAATTAACGAACGACATAACATCAACTGCAAAAAAGATCTGTGATAAAAATAAAAATCCCAGAAAAATGAAACTGAAACAAACAACACTTAATTTAATGGAAGAAAGAAGAAGAACATCGAAAGAATTACCAGAGTATAAAGCTATCAACAATAAAGTTAAAAAGAGCATAAGGTCAGACTTGCGGCTTATAAAACAAAACAAATATTGCAAACCATCGAAAACAATAGAAACAGGAGAGTATTGAAATCAAATTTAACTAAAGGAAAATCAAAGATAACTAAAATCAAAAATCAACAGGGGAATACGGTGACCAAAAAAACTCAAATAATCAAGGAAATACAAACGTTCTACAAGAATCTTTATACATCTACTATACAGAACCCCGAAACAGACCACAGAACAATTCTAAACGTCGGCTCGGAAACCCTCCCTAAAATAACCTTTTTGGAAATTAGACATGTTAGAAGTTGTGGAAGTCTTACTGAATAAGTGTCTAACAGAAAAAAGAATACCCAGCCTATGGGTACGCTGAAACGCCGAAATAATACTTTTACACAAGAAAGGAGACACTACTAATATTGAAAACTACAGACCTATAAGTTTGTTGTCACACTTATATAAATTGTTAACAAGAATAATAACCAACCGCATAACACAAAAACTTGATTTATATCAACCGGTTGAACAGGCGGGATTTAGAAAAGGGTTTGGTGCTAATGATCACTTACAAACCATCAGAACACTAGTAGAAAAAACCACAGAATATAATGTACCTTTACATATGGCATTTATCGACTTTCACAAGGCTTTCGATAGTATTGAGACTTGGTCCTTTTTGTCAGCCCTGAAGTATGCTCGAATAGACTCACGGTACACTACACTCATTAAAAACATTTATGAACAGGCCACATTCCACATCAAAATCAATGAAGACGAAAAAACTGAAAAAAATGCGCCTTGATAAAGGTATTAGACAAGGTGATACTATTTCACCAAAGCTTTTTACCTTAGCATTGGAAAATGTATTCAAACAGCTTGACTGGAAGGAAAAAGGTCTAAACATTGATGGTGTACGTTTGAGTCATTGGAGGTTTGCGGATGACATAGTATTATTTAGTACAGATATCAAGGAACTGGAGCAAATGTTGAAGGAATTAAACCAGCAGTCAAATAAAATAGGTCTCAAAATTAACCTTCAGAAAACAAAAATAATGGGTAATTTACAAACTAATCTTGTTATTGACAACGTCAGTCTTGAAAATGTAGACCACTATATATATCTTGGACATACCATTAAAATCGGCAAAGAAAAATCAATAGCCGAAATAAAAAGACTCATACAACTGTCTTGGGGAGCTTTCGGCAAATTAAGCTTTATTTTGAAGAATAAAGATATACCAATGTGTCTAAAACGTAGAGTTTATGACAAATGTATCTTGCCTGTAACTACATATGGACTGCAGACCATGGCCTTCACAAAGAAAACCTTAGAGCAGCTCAGTACAACCCAAAGAGCAATGGAGAGGGCCATGCTAGGGATTAGTTTAAGAGACAGGATTCGAAATAACGTCATTCGTGAAAGAACAAAAATTACTGATGTTTCAGAACGTATTGGAAGGCTCAAGTGGGAATGGGTCGGACACGTTGCCCAAGATAATCCCGAAAAATGGACACAAAGATTAACAAACTGGAGACCAAGAGAGAACAGGCGAGGAGTAGGCAGACCGCAGAAGAGGTGGACAGACGATATCAAACAAGTCGCGGGAAAGCAGTGGATGAGAATTGCCAAAAGTAGAAATCGATGGAAGCAAATGGAAGAGGCCTATGTCCAGCAGTGGACGAACACAGGCTAAAGAAGAAGAAGAAGAATGAGACATCTAGAGAGGTATAACCTTCTTCACCTCATAATACAGGGTAAGATCGCCGGAAGGGATGCCCAGGCTGAAGAAGAACATCCTGGCTCCGAAATCTCCGGGAATGGTATCAAGAGAACACTGCTAATTTATTTAGAGCCGCCGTGAATAAGGTTATTATTGCCAATATGATCACCAACGTTCGATAATCGGATAGGGTACTGAAAGAAGAAGAAGACAAATCTTTTCATATTATCTTCCTACCTAGGGATCCAGAACTGTTAACCTATCCTAAGTCCTATCCCATACAGCATATACGGCTAAGTTTAGGTTAGGTTAGATTATAAATCTCAAAAAGAAAAGTCAAGAGCTATTATAGACATTTTTTCTCAGAATTTTAGAAATGAATAAATTTAAGTTAAGGATTTCATAGACTGCATGATGAACTTTTGATTAGGGTGAAACTTAATGTAAGAAAGTGCGTACGTAAGCTATTTTTAAACATTCTTTATATCAGTACTGTAGCTAAAATTTTAATACGGGTAAATTTATCGCCTTATTAAATTCTGGAAAATCAAATAACAATCCAGAAAGCTGTAGACCTGTATAGTTACTAAGCTGTATTTATAAACTTTTGGAGAAACTTATTTTTACCAGAATCTCAGAAAATATCCTGGAGAAGGTCTGAGCAGAACAAAAAGCTTTAAGGCCCAATCGGAGCTGCTACGATCAGGTACTGGCACTAACAACTTATAGCGAAGCGGGATTTTAGAATTACCTCATATCATAAGTGGAGTGTACAGACCTGAGTGCAGCTTATGACACACTTTGGAGGAAAACACTGATACATAATTTCTTACAATTCATTTTTTGCCAAACAACTGCTTGATTAATCAACTGAATGATATGTGACGTAGACTTCAAGTCATTATGGGAGGGAAAATAAGCAAGGAAAGGAAATTAAACAATGGACTTCCACATAATACTCACAATCTTACTTTTTCAACTGTATATTTTAGACCTTCTAAATACTAGTTATAGCCAATTTTGCTACGTCAATGATACAACACTTGCGACTAGGCAGACATTTATAATAGAAACACAGAGGAGACTCTAAAATAAGACTACAAGTTTCAGGAGAATACTTTAAATACGGGAGACTTTGTCCCAGGGCTAGCATAACTGAATAACGCTATTTTCATCTAGGCAGTTAAATAATACATAGGAAATTAATTTTGCAATACACACAGGAAAGATAAAATACTTTCCTAAATAGTTTGGAGTACAATGAGATCGTACCCATTCCTGTAAGTATCACTTTGAAAAAGAGTCTGCTAAGTTGAAAACGAGCAATATAATTCAAAAGCTTTGCGTATGGTAACCGGATCATAAAAAAATCAATGATAATCTGGTCTTAACGATATACCAAGATATTTTCGATGTGGAAGAAACAAGCTTCAGTCTAGAAACCTGCCTCTATTAACCTCCATGTCTCTATTGCAGCCAAATTTTAGATGATAAACTATAGTAAGAATAGATGGAATAAAACCACATATTTATAGAATAAATTCTGATCCGCCGGTCCCAAGATTTGATTTAAATCCTAAGACATTGGTGCCAATAGATATAATTAGGTCTGAGTGCAGTCTTCAGTTTGTGACTGCGGCCATCCACCACAAACCTTATAACAAGTTTGTCTTTGTGTCTGTAGTTAATATGCAGTTACTTATTATATCTTATTCGCCCATCCAGTCTGGGTCGACCTCTGTTCAGTCAGTCGCAGACTTTTCTTAGCAACAGGTACATCACACACCATTGCCGATATAACATTGGTGTTTACTGATCCCAAAAACTTCCGAGTAGCGAGTTTGAATTGATTTTGTATGGACCAAAACCACGGAGTCGTAATATTAACCCATTGTCGTCAATTATTTCCGAATTACAAATTTATCATTTTTCAATACTTCAAAATGGACTTTGGAAAATGTATTTTTCATGATCAATAACGCAATTTTCATTTGCACACCCTCACTTGAGTTCATAAAATTTTCTGTAAGGTTTTGGACTTTTTACTGCTTCATTGCCCGAATCATCATTGCCCTATCATTTCTCCAAACACGTCAACTTTATGCAGCTACCAAAAAATATACTGATGGCTGAATCAACTGAAATTTAATGTATTGTTAAAAAAGGTTAGACTTTCTAAAAATAATGGTTTTTTGATTTCATAGCACCCTAAGGTGGTTGCTTCACCAGTTAACCAGATCTGTTTAGTGTATTTTACAATTTTCACATGTCAACTATCTTCGTATCTTATAGCATATTTTGCTTAGCGATAAATATCTCTTTATTATTTGGATCATTGAATAATTATTTTTTACAGCAACTTTTATTTTTTTTAAATTTAATTTAAATTTAGATTTTAAAAACATACATTTAATGTGACAACTCCCTTCTACTTCCTATTAAAAAAGAACTTAAAAACCTTTCAAATAAGAACATCCAAGTTCACTTTTTAAGGGTACCTTCTCATGTCAGAATTGAAAGTAATGAAGTTGTAGATAAACTATTTATTTTGATATTAGATTGAAATACTAAAGTTTTTGGGAGAAAATGGAATTAAAGCTCTGTGTAATCTCTTTAACAGAATTTATGACACTGGGATATTACCAACTGATTGGTTAAAGTCGACATTTGTCACAATACCTAAGAAACATCGTCCAAAGACATGCGGTGATTATCGGACAATAAGTCTGATGAGTCACGTTTTGAAAATCTTTCTGCGAGTAATACACAGCAGAATTTATACGCTGTTAGAGGACAGAATTAGCAATATTCAATTTGGGTTTAGGAGTGGCTTGGGTACAAGAGAAGCCTTGTTTAGTATACAGGTGCTAGTACAGAGATGCAGAGATATAAATCAAAATGTGTATATTTGTGCAATCGATTTTGAAAAAGCTTTTGACAAAGTCCGACATAACAAAATGCTAGAAATATTGGAAACAGCTGGATTGGACGATAAAGATCTACGAATAATTACAAATCTATACTGGCATCAAGTGGCAAGAATAAAGGTTGAACAAGAACTGTCGGATAAAATAAATATAAAAAGAGGAGTGAGACAAGGCTGTATATTGTCGCCTTTACTTTTTAACTTATATTCGGAGGAAATATTTAAGGAAGCCTTAATGGAGACAACCGAAGGTATTATTGTGAATGGAGTAACCGTCAACAATATTAGATATGCCGACGATACCTTAGTCCTTTCCAATTGCGGAGAAGACCTTCAAAATCTAATGAACAAAATAAAACAGACTTGTGATCAGTATGAATTAAAACTCAACGTTAAGAAAACTAAATATATGATAGTTAGCAAACAAAATTATATACATGATGACGGTATAAAAGTCGGAGATGCCACACTGGACAGAGTAGAGAAACTCGTGTATCTCGGCAGTAATATCAATGAGAGCTGGGATCCAACCGCAGAAATTAAAAGCCGAATAGAACAAGCCCGAGCTGCCTTTGTAAAAATGAGAAACGTACTTTGCAGTCATGATCTTAGCATTGACCTTAGAGTTCGTATGATATCTTGCTACATCTTTCCTGTCCTGCTGTATGGAGTAGAAGCGTGGACCCTAACTGAAGCTATGCTTAAACGCTTGACAGCCTTTAAGATGTGGGTATACAGACGACTACTGAAAATAAGCTGGGTCGACAGAGTTAGAAATGAGGAGGTCCTTAGACGGCTGAACCAAACAACACAACTGGTCAATATAATAAAGAAACGCAAGCTGGAATACTTCGGTCATATTATGAGACACCCTGAAAAAATATGATCTTTTACATCTGATCATTCAGGGAAAGATCAAAGGTAATCGTGGTCCTGGTAGAAGAAGAACATCATGGCTAAAAAATCTAAAGCAATGGTATGGAAAATCAACTACATCGTTATTTAGAGCTGCTGTCAATAAAGTCACGATAGCGAATATGGTAGCCAACATGATATCCAACGATCGATAACGGTCATGGAACTAGAAGAAGAAGAAAAACGCACCAACTATCCCGGCAACACAAAAATGGCAACAAACTTGGAACAACACTCCATCAAGACTATACAAAGTCAATAAACATTAACATCCATGGAAACCAAAAATAAAAGACAGAAGAGAGCAAGTGTTACTTACCCGTCTCCATATCGGCCATACACGACTTACCTATGACTATTTATTACAGCGCAAAAATAAACCAGTGTGTGAAGTGTGCAGTGTGCAACAGTGTTCTAACGGTAAAACATTTTTTAATACAGTGTCCCAAATATAATATTGAACGACTCAAATATAACATACCCAACTCCCCAAGAGATGCCCTACATGAAAATACAGATACCCAAAAAATATTTTATGATCTTAAAGACTGTCAACTTCTTTAAATGATCTAAAACATACATTGTAATACAAATACATATTATTCTTATTATTGTAAACTAATGTATATACGCTAATTATACCAACTGTCACATTAATCTAAATACGCTAATAACCCTTCGTGGTTGATGCGCTAAAAAAAATAATAAAAAAAAACTTACATAAAACATATTTAAAATTATTGTTTATTATGTCTAAGAACTACGCATGTGGTTCAGCTTATAAATTACCGTATTATTAAAAATTCACAATTTATTAACTTTTTTTAAAGTTAGGAATTTGGAAATTATGAATGGAATTTTTGAGAATGTAAAACAAGTTTTTATTGTCAACCTAGGTGGTCTTTTTAATTAAAACAAGGACAAATTGGGCTATCATTTGTTTTTATAATGTAGCTATTTATATATTTTATTTCTATTCCGGTCAAATGAAAATCATATTTGCCATTTAATAATAATGTAAACATCCCTAAAGCATATTTTTTGTATTATTGGCTATTCATTTTACTTTGTTGTAAGTGGAACCTACGCTAAGAAATTTTGTATTGTCTAAAACCTTATATTTTAAAGTGATACCAATTTCATAGTAGTGGAGCATTTTAAGAGTTTTTACGGTTTTATTTTAATGTTCCCTTGTGGGTAAGGGCTAACCAGTGGTTAACTTGAAACATACGTTTCACAATATAAAGCTTGGGTTGTAGTTAATATATATATATATATATATATATATATATATATATATATATATATATATATATACATATATATATAATAAGTTTAATAACTTATTATATTGTTATATATCTTATTTTTGTTGTTTGCAATTTTACCATTATTATATAGTTCTTATATATGAGGAGCAGACTTTCTATATGCATTTTGTCCATTTTTTGTAATTCTGGCAAATAGATAAAAACTGCTATGTGCTTGGCAAGAAATTGAACGAAAAACTGATATACCTAAAATATGGATGAAAAATCATTCAAATATTATACCTATAGTCCAAAAATCTAGTATTGATAGTGTCCCAAAAAACTTGAAAAAACTGTTGGACAAACTGCATTTAGATTGTCATCCTTGGACAAAACGCATTTTGATTGTCTACACCAAGCGGTATGACAAATTTTTGGTAGTAACGATGTAAAAAAACTAAAGTAGCTTCATAAAAATAGTATTTTATTTTCAAATACAAAATAATGTTTAAAAATGAAAGGAACAATAATGGCAGTTTTACCAAAGTTAACTTGATTGCTATTTTGCTCACCAGTGTCAGAAAAAATTGGTTGTAACCATGTTAGCTCAGGATCGTTGACTCAATTCACCCCTGACAGTTCCACTAATAGTTTCGAGAGGCTCTGGAGTTTTTTTGGTTTAATTTCGTTTTGGAGTTCTACAGCAGGTAGGTGTAAAGTCGAAAGCTTCTTTCTACGCTTCAATAATGTTTGGAATTGTTTGGATGGATCATCATTTCTATAGAACAGTTCGATCTTAAGCAAAATATTGATGTTGTTTTGTGATTTCTTAATAATAATTCGTTTGGCTGCACTGATTCCTTCAATTTTTTTTAAACAAGCTTAACGCAGTTTTTATATCATAAACAGTCCAGTCTCTACCAAGTTGTTTAACTTCTCCCCTCTTGGACTAAATGTCATAATATTGTGTAGGGGTTTTTATTGTGCTCTAGGATCGTGTAACTTTTTGTATTTGCCCGAAAACACGGTCCGCTGGCAAATATGAATTTCCGCGTACCGGAAAAATAAGTACCACAGATTTAATCTTTTCTGGGGAATCTCTGTATAACCATAGCATGAGCATATGCATCATGTGTGCATTTTCCTCATTATTCTGCCTCTCACAATCATCTGCGAATACTCTGAACTGTTTTATACCTGATCCAAATTCAGATTTATTAAGAAAATCACGTAGAGCAGAACTTGTTTCTGCAGATCCCCTTTTTGCTTGATGTTCCCAAATGACTATCCTGTATATTTTTGTTTATTGTTTCATAAAACATACTTCTAATTGTCCTAATATTATTAAATGAATGATATTAAAATATTAACGACAACAACATAAGTACTTAGGATGATATTGTGTAAACAATACCAAAATACAAAAGTAACTTATAAGTCATTAAAGCTTACCTAACATTGCTTTTATGCTCTTTAGAAGTTAGATGTCTTTTTCTTTTTCTGCTACCGAAATCCATATCACCAACTACATGATCTCCTGTCATAACTACATCCATTATTTTATATTGTTTTGTTGAAAATCGGAAAAACAAACGCACATAAAACAAATTTAACAGTATAGACACCAACTATACAACGACAACGACCGCCAACAACAAATAAATCGCAATTAGTCCATAGCGCACGGACAAACTTCGTTTAGTTCGTCTACCGTCAATGGACATACAGCACATAGAAAGTCCAAGGTATTTTTTTCATTTAATTTGCAGACAACAGAATGAATTTAGAATGTTTTTCGTGACACAAAATGGTGGCTCTATACATATAGTTTGCGATGCCATCTTTGGTTGAAAATTAAAAAAAAATGGACAAAATGCATATAGAAAGTCTGCTCCTCATATGTTCTTATTAATATTCGATCGATTAGAAATAAGACAGACGAATTATTTTTGTTTCTGGCAGAATTAGGGTTTCCCCAGTTAGTTGCAGTGACGGAACACTGGCTTGAAGGTTAATGAGCCAATTTTCATTCAAGAATATACCACAATTGGTATGATCGTCCAAGTTCAGCTCATGGTGGCACTCTGATTCTTTCAAATAACAATGATTTTTCTTCAGTTTCGAAATATGACTATTTGCTGGGTGAAAACTACTTCTAATTTTCTTTGATTTATAATAAGAAATTTAATCTATACATTATTTGCATTTATAGATCACCTAGCTCTGATAGTGAACTATTTTTTCAGAGCCTGCTAAATTTGTTAGATATTCTGCCCATTAAAAGTAGAAAAATTTTATGTGGTCATTTTAATATTGACTACGCTGCTGTTTGTGCGACCCAACTGTCTTTAGTAACTATTTTTGAATCATATGGTCTCACAATGCACGTTAATTCTCCAACAAGAATCTCAAAAGTTTAGCAGTTTACAAACACCTCACTCAAAAACCCGACGATTAGGTAGGATTTTTTCCACTCAAAACTTTCGTAAATTCTATAATTCATGCTTGACTTCTGACTGGAGTTTTTCTTCTGGGGACATTGACTGTAATGTTAGTGATTTTCTAAATAGACTTGTATCTATTTTTAATAAAGTATATCCTCTATTAAACATCAGGACAAAACATAACAAACCTTGGATTACCAAAGGCATTCGCATATCTGCGAAAAATATGCGTTATATATATTAAAAAATTTAATGACAGTATCCCCATCTCTGATTATATCAATAAGTACAGAAAATGCTATATAAAACTACTCAAAGTAGCCAAAAAATCCTACTTTCATAATCGCTTAACAAGCTCCAAAAATATTTCAAAAGAAACTTGGTCAATAATAAACGATTTTCGAAATAAAACCAGTACAGCGAATCAAACCTTTTCTTTTCCTAACCCCGAAAATCTAAATGATTACTTTGTTAATGTGAGTAAAAATATAACCTCAACTATTTCGCCACAACAAGATCCAGTTTCCTATCTCTCTAATTCAAAAAACATTGCTGATACCTTCTTTTTAAGACCAGTTGATCAGACGGAACTCATTTCAACAATTCGTAGTATAAAAAGCACATCGTCCTGTAGTACAGGTGGATTATCTATTAAAATTTTCTCAAATCTACCGCATAATGTTTTGGAGGTCATGGTCTCGCTAGTAAATGATTCCCTTGAAAAAGGTACATTCCCTAACTGCCTAAAGACTGCCATCGTCATTCCTCTTTATAAAGGTGGAGAAAAATCTGATGCCTGCAACTATAGACCTATTGCCTTGTTACCAGCACTATCAAAAATTATTGAAAGACTTATAAAAGTTCGAATTATACCCTTTCTCCTTAAATATAATATTTTATCGCAAAATCAGTTCGGCTTTTTGTCTAATAAATGCACTAGTGATGCCATATTTTCTGTGTTACATGATGTATATCTATCACTAAACAGTAACCTCTCCTCCGCCACCGTTTTCTGCGACTATTCCAAAGCCTTTGACTGCGTAAATCACGACATTCTATTAAAAAAATTAACTTTCTATGGAATTCGGGGTGTGTCTTTGAACTGGTTCAAAACTTACTTGGTAGGTAGGAAACAATTGGTTAGAATAAATGACACCGACTCTAGTTGTAAAGATATTGAGTGTGGAGTACCGCAACGTTCAGTATTAGGTCCCATTATTTTTTACTTTTCATTAATGACATCACTTACTTGAAAATTAAAGGGAAAATTTTTCTATTTGCTGATGACACCAGTATTACTTGGAGCAGCTCTAATATTTCAACGCTTCATTCAAATATAACCGCTGATTTACTTATAATCAAGGCTTGGTCAGACTTCAACTTACTTAGCTTTAACGTGGATAAGACTGTAGCACTATCTTATAAAGGAGTCATGCAACCCTTGCTTTTGAATGAGAGTTAAATCAATATCGTATATTCCATGAAATTTCTAGGTATTCTCATTGACAGTGATCTCAAATGGTCCTTGCATACTGACTCCTTAAGGAAGAAACTAGCTTCAGCTTGCTTTGCAATAAGATCTGTTTCGAAGGAACTAAATTTATCTTCTGCCAAAATGGCATATTTCTCATTGTTCGAGTCCCATCTTAGATATGGGCTTCCATTTTGGGGTTCTAGTACAGCGGCCCAATTTGATACTATTTTTAAGTTGCAAAAAAGAGCAATCCGTTATCTATTTGGTCTCAAACAAACAACTCATTGCAAGACCTACTTCAAAAATCACGGAATTTGGACGCTTCCCTCTCTATTTATTTTGGAAACGGTTTGTTTGATTCGAAAGCATCTAAACATTTTTCCCGATAGACCTGACCATGGCTACTCCATTAGTAATTCGGATTGTAACGTTTATTTGCCGATCCCGTCCACTCAGCTAGTAAAGAATTCTATTTTATATCGTGCAAAGAAACTTTATAATCACCTTCCAAGAGAAATTAAATCCGCAACATCCTTCATTAAGTTTCGTAAGGTGACAAAAATCTATCTCTCAGAAAGACCATATTATTCAGTTGACGAGTTTCTTAATGTATAACAAAGAAACAAAATTAGTATTGTTTATAATTACAGTTGGGTGTCTCAAGCAGTGGCTACACTTTGTCTCATTTGTTGTTGTCTGTACAAATTATGTAGATTATACAATAATTTTACTAATTTAAAATTGTGTTATTCTGTTTTTTACTATATTTGTTTTTGTTTTATACTTTTTGTACTATTTGACTGATTTATTTTTTAGCTTTGTCCATAAAATTGTACAATAATTTTCAGTGACAATAAAGCATATTTCTATTCTATAAAAATCGGCATTAAATATATTTAATTTTCAATAACAATGTAAGAATTATCTTATTTATATTTAATAAAAGTAAATTTTTAAAAACACTGGAAGCTAAAAACCGTATGTTGCATACTAATAACATTTGACAACTTTTAGTTTCATTGGAATTTGGATACGCCTATGACTCAACTTTTATGAACAAAAGTGATGTCCGGTAGACATTTTTCCTTTTCGTATTTTGGAATAGACAAGATTGTTGAATATAAATTACCCAATTAAATGTTTGATTAATGTGAAATACAGCTAAAGGTCTAAAGATTCTCACAGAACAAGTTTTGATTAATAAAAAAATGGATTGTTTTTTAGATACATAGCGTCCAACTAAATAGTTAATTTTTAATCAAAGAAGAGAGTTATGCTTTTCTTTTATTCTCCTATTTGTTTCATTCTTAAGATATTCAGACATTAACAAGGAGTTCTGTTATTAATACAATCCATTTATTGGATCTGCTACTAAACAAACTAATTCTTTCGTATTTTCTCCTTCTTATATGTATATCCTCCTCTTCAAAAGCTTGTACTCTATAGACCAGAGGAATTAGTAAATAAAAAGCCAATTTCGTGATAATAATATGTAATTAACAAAATATGCAAAAGACTAATTGTCATTTTTTACTCATAACCATTGTATAAACAATGTAAGATCCATATTTAATTTTAAATACTAAAGGTGAAGACCTGTAAATTATATGAAAAAGTGATAAGATTTTACTGAAAAAGCTTCCGGCTAAAACCTTAACGACCGTTCCAGAGAGATGGTCTTGTCACTCAATGAACAACTAAAATAGAAAACTAAAAATTTATAAATAACCATATATATTACCGTAAATCAAAAATAGTTTCAGACGTTAGGCCATAAACTAAATAATATTAACCATAAATTTCAGATTCCTGGCTTAATTTCCTCCTCTGTCCTCCTCCTCCTTTTTCTTCATCACTCCAGAAATTAGACAGTGTACTTCTCTCCATTATTTCTCTTCTCTTAACATTCTGTTTACAATCCTTTTTTCATCCAGGCCGGAATCCATTCGTTTCTCGAAATCTCCCCTCTCGTTTGCCTATCTCTGACAGTTAAAAATGTGCGCAAGAGCGTCTGGTACCCCCACAAACAGTAGAGTCTGCCGACGCAGATTTGCCTATTCTAAATGTGAAGGTGCTAAAACTACCATGTCCGGTCAGAAACTGCGCCAGAAAGTAGTCTAGTTTCCTGAACTTACATTACCACCACGACCTTAGATCGGGAATAAGCTCCTTCATCCACCTTGCCTTCCCGCTATCATTCGCCCATTCTCTTTGACACTCTACTATCGTTCTTTCTCTTTCATTCTTATCTATATTTATATCCATTTTCCTCACATACACCCTCGCTCACTATTTGCATAACAAAACGATCGGTACCACCGCTCCAATGCCGTATAGAGCCTCGTTTCAAACTGTTTTATATGCGCTAGATACCCTGAGGAGTATTCGCCTTTGCGAAGTCTCCATCAGCTTAGCGTATTTCGCAGTTTTGAATACGCTACACCATACCGGGGCAGCGTAGATTACCACCGACTGGAAAGCTCCATTTAGCACCTCTTTTTTGGTGCTACCTGGGCCTCCAATGTTTGGCATCAGCCATATCAACGCCTGTAGATTTCGGTTCCCCTTCTCCAGCGTCCTCTCTGATCCACCTACTGTTGCGACGCAGGGCTATGTTAGCCGCATTAGCCACGTCCAT